AACAGCAATAACAAAGTTTTACGTTTTCAACGTTCGGTATGACTTTAATTCTATATAAAATTTAGCAACATAATATGTTCTGATGAGAACTCGAATAATCCATTACCGATTTATAACCAATTAGTTGATAATTTTCAGCGTAAAAGTTCAATTCAATACCAGATATTTCTTTAGAAAATATAAATTGTTTTTTCTCATCAAACCACAACATAGACACTGTTTAAAACAATATATATTTTACTGTCAGATATGTTGTGCTCACCGTCAATAACAATTATTGTTTTTTTTTCTCCATCAAATTAACAAAAAGAAGGCATTTAAATGTAATTGAATTTTAGCAACAATGGTATTTCTCGTTGATTAACAAAGAAGTAATCGATAATACGGTTTCCAACGTTTCTAGTTGTTTGAAAATGCATGGCTTGTTGTAGAAACTTCTCGAAACAATATGAACTGATATATTCGAATATAAGACCTGATTAAAGCAAAATCTATATATTGTCCTTACGATAGTGTACTTGCAACTTTATTGTTCAAATTAACTATGAGCTAATTTTAGCCCAACAATACTTTAGAAATATACTTATGTCGCATATATAGATGTCGTATAGAACTTCAATTAAGGCAGATCAAATTACTTACTGAACAACAAAAAGTAATAAACATACAACCAGCACTCATCAGAGAAACTTTTAACCATGTTTATGGTTCAATTATAAATGTTCTATAATGCACACGATAAACTGTCAACAATATAGATATTATGCATGAGATCAAGTGTGATTAGAATGCGTATTTTTTTAACGAAAAATTTCTCGGGTTGTATATAAATGTCACTATTTTTTAAGTCTATAAAAGACACTATACTGAAGTCATTATAAATTAACTTATATTTAAGAAGTGCAATAAAAAACAGAAAACTAATACTAAATTTCTCCTAGGTTTTTGTTTGTCTTTCTTTATATTGGTACAATATTGCGGTGATAATTCGGCGTTTTTAGGAATAAAACTATAATCACTGAATGGTTTACATAATATTTTTAATATATTAAAAAGTCTTCAATGTCCTTTAGTTTATATTTTTTTCGAACCACTCTTTAAGCGCACTTATTATTTTAATAATAATTATTAAAAGATATTATAATCATAAAAATTATCTGAACGTAATATGAAATTTCGAACTTTTCTTAGCTTCATTTTTTTTTTTTTTGCTATTTTATTTAAGCTTTTAATGATTTTACATAAATAAAATGTACCATAAAAAAATTTAGTGATGTAAAGTGTAAATTTTTCATTGTAATGGAGTAACACGCAAGTGTTCATACATTTATGACTGGGTGTAAATATTTTACACCATTAGATCGGTAATAAAAACGTGTACATTTTTTTTTAATTGCTCGTCCGTATTTAACACGAAATGATTTATTTGAAATTAGACTGCTCTATAATTATATAGATACTGATTTTTAGAATGTTTTTCAATCAAATGATATACTTGTATTGTGACCAAACCATGAATTTTGTGTTTTTCTAATTCAAAAAACACTTTTTTAGATCATAGTGTTCATACAATGGAAAATACACTCTAAAACAATTAATAATGATAAATACGGTACTGTAACGTTATATATCCAGTCGAAAGGTTTTTTTTTAAATGTCATGTTTTTCTTTGCTGTCAACCCAACGTCTTATCATAATTCACTGTCGCGTTGCAGTATTTCCTGACAAACTTTTTTTTTCAACGACAAGCACATTGTATTTTTTGAGATAAGTTATAGTAGTTCCTTAAGTCTTAAGAACAATTTCCTGTATTTGGACACATATTAAAACTGCTTTTATTTTATTTTTTACATATAAACACATGAAATTATTCATAAATAATTCAAAATCCTAAAAATTAAATTACTCACGAGGAAATCTGACAAAAAATGTGTAGTTTGATTACTGATTAAAAATTGTGTAACTATGTGCAACAATGTAAAACAATAAAATATAAGTACCTATGTCATAAACTTAATTACAAAAGAATTAAAACTTAGGTTGATATATGTCATTTATAACAAAGAGCAGTGTAAAACATCAAATAAAATCGAACAAACAAAAAAATCACTATGTTAACAGAAAAATCTTTGTGCCTTGAAATAAGTTAAATATTTATCATACATTTGCGACAAATTACAATTAGTACCTACATTAAAATTTGCGAAATCGTAGTCTTTATATTGTATGGAATACATTTCGTGTTTCGAACTTCACATAACTTAATGATTTTACAATTACGGAAACGCCACAAAAATTATTTTTACTGTTTTGAACGATAATCCGGAGTGAGAAGCGCTGCATGACACTTTGATTTGATGCGATTTTATAATTATAGTCATGAACATTGTAATACTATTACAATATATACCATGTATATGATGTTGATGGTGACAGTGGACTAGGTTGAAAAAATATACGGTTTCGCAGGTACAGTTTGATATTGATTTGGGTAGACAACAGCTGTCCATCGGATGAATGGATATTAATGAAAAACTCTGTATCATTAAGCTGACAAAGATTGCTGAACGTGTTTTTCGGTCAGTTATGACTGACTTAACGGCTATAATAATTTAATCATTATTCGTGATTGAAGGGCAATAATATAAGACATTGTACTGTCGAAATTTTTTTTATTTTTAAATCAAGATAAACAATGATTCTTATGAATAAATCCGAAGAACTCAAATCAGATATAAAATTCGTTTTATTAATTAAATACATATATTTAATACTTTTCATTTGATTCAATACTTATTGTTTCCTATTTTTATACCAAGTCAACGCGTGATATTTTAATGTTCAAATCAAAATGTTTCACGTCATAGGTGTAAGTTATTGATATGTACTACACTTAAAAACAAAACGTTGAACAACGATTTCATTATGAATACATAAAATATTGCCTGTATAGAATTCAAAATGTAAATTGCAGGCAAATACCATATTTTCGCCGGAAAAACAAGTTTTGCATAGTTTAAAATTGATTAATTTTGTCACTGTCAATCGTTCTTTTATTTTCATTTTCATCATAATACAAATAAACCTGTTCAAGTTTTAACGTGCACAATGTCACAAAATTAGACACAATTTTGCTTGTGTTTAGTTTGATTTTCGGCAGTATCACGTTTTGAATTATCGTTCAACGATCACGACATCGAACCGAACATGGTTTTTCGACCCGACTAGCACTAATGATTTTCGGCGTGGAAAGTGTTAAAAACGATCGATTGGTTCGGCTAACGACAGTTTTCATAATGGGCGCGTGCATTATATCATCGCAGGATCTCCGAGCACCGCTAAAACATTGCACACGTCCATGTGCAAATGTTTTGCGCATGCAATTACATGGTCGGTCCATGACCGCGGTTATTGCGGTTATAACGACGGAACGTTAACGATAAGCGGGGTGGTTTGACACCCGCGCGAACAGGACAGAGAAAAGTACCTACCGTGTCTCGAAAACTCACGGATTAATTTTTACGTGTACGTATTACAATGTCATAACGACCGAAACGAGTAAATATTGTAGTATTCTATTTAAATTAATGCACATGAATTTTAGCGTTATTAAAATATTATATTTTATTTCGGTACTATTATATTATATGCACATCGTGATGCAGGTACCGAGCCGTACTTAAATCATTGTTCTATTAATACGTTCAGACTTCGAAGTAAGACGTAGTAGTTTTACATAGTAAAACAAGTAAAGCATATGTTGTGGTGTGGCTAAAAATAGTTAAAGTCCGTGTGAAAATGATTAAGCAATACGAATGTCATAGAAACAGTTAGGATTCTTTAAAAAAGTCTTATCGTTTGTGTTCTGTTTGAAAAATAACATTTGTGTTCACGTATTGCTCACAAAATGTGAACGCAACGAACACGTGTCCGCGAACACGTGCTATTTGTACACCGTTTAGGGCTTTAGGGTTTGAAGAAAAAATGTTATCAGTTGTTGGTTTTTAATGCGTGTTGATAATGAGTGCCGTACGAATTCAGATCCACAATAAAAAATATCGATAATAATTGATTGATTGTGAAAGCTATTGCGTGTACACGAGGAAGAGATAAAATAATATCAACATCAACAATAATAATGCACGTAATTTTATCAAAAGTAAACAAATAGAGAACGAAAAAGAAAACAAATATCGATATGATGTAGCTGTAAGGGATGTTATCCGAACAAGTCAGTCGTGAAATGTGGAAAAATTCAAAATTATCGCGATCTCTAATGAAAAACGGTTGTTTGACCATCTGCGCGATCAATAAAACGTGGGTCGTCGACTGCGCATTGAGCAAAGTTTATGAAGAAGTTTGTACTCCAAGTTAATATACGTTTTTAGGTGTTAAGATGGAAATTCAATTTTTCAAATATTACAGCGTGTAAAAACTGAAATACCAGAAAAATATGGAAAAAATGCGTTTCGAGCGCAATGCAGTAGTACGGTCATTTAAATGTAATTTCTTTTGTCTTACGTGCGTACGAATGCTTTGGGACCTTTATTCGTAATTTTAATTTTTTGTAAAAAATGTGTAGCCCGCATACGAATATATTTTACACGCGAAAAAACTCACGCGAGTTACTTGGTCCTATTTTTTATTTTTTTTTTATATCCTAGCGTAAAAATAACCGACCTTGCTACGTGCTTAATTTGCTGCGGGATGATTGAACACATTTACCGGCTGACACACCAGCCATGGAAATGGTCGGAAAAAAAATATGATCGCCTAAATGGTACAAAATGCTTAGTACAAAAAAAAAAAAAAAAAATAATAAACAATAAATTAGAAAAACGCAACGGAAAGAGCGTTCTAAAAATCGGTTTCAACCAACAGTTAGGTCGCCGATGAGTAATGCGATGTGGATTTTTGCGCGGGGTCGTCGAACGTCACGTTTTACCGCGTAGTAAATTATAATTCGTATTATTATTAATATCATGTCGCGTTGAGCTCACCTTGGTGACTTTGTAGACGGAGCCGCGAAACCGTCTTCCCTGGGACTCGGCCAGTTCGCGGCCGGCCTGCAGCTTGATCTTGACCAACTCGGCGGGGCACAGGACGACGGACGAGAAGAACGACGCGGCGCAGCCGGCCACCGCGTTGCTGAGCGCGTCCATCTGCTTGGCGTCGTGAGCCCCGGTGGCCGCGGCCACCATCTGCTGGCACAAGCCGTAGCACGCGAACAGCACCGAGTTCTCGGCCACGCTGGCCAGCACGGCGGGCGACGAGCCGGCGTACAGGCCGCGCAACCCGGACGTCCGGTACGTGTGCGCCAGGCACTGCGCCGAGTTCGCGTACAGGCCGCGGAACGTTTGCAGCTTGGTCTTGACCGTGTCCAACGGCTGGCCGACCATCACGACGGCCGCCCCGGCCAGCGAACCGGCCAGCATGTCGGTCAGACCGTCACTGGAGCTCATGGTTTGTCGACGGCGGGCGCGAGTGACAGGAGGAGGAAGGTCGAGAACAGCGTCCGGTGTGCCGTGCGAGTGGACCAACAGTCTCCCGAGCGATACGAGTTGACGAAAAGCGTGTCGTGAACGGTACGAGTGGACGAACGGTGTGTTCTCTCGTTTGATTCGTTTCGCCGCGGCCGCTCGCCTTAATATAGTCCGCGGTAGCGAACGTTTTTCTCCACCGGTCAACTCGTGCACCGACGGCGCGCGTGAAATTGATAAGATAACGGGCGGCCATCCGTTTCGAATCCGCTGATGTTGTTGTTATTGTTACTCCCTTCCGTCGTGCGCACGTCGGTAGTGTTTATGTTTTCATATTTTTGTGCTCGGACAGCAGATACGCCATCGCTGTTGTTGATTGATTACAACTAATCGTTAACATTTTTTTTTTTTTCTAATTAATTTTCGACTCGTCACGAAATCATCACTTTTCACACAGAGCATAACTCCGTGATCCGTTTATTTATATTTCGCGATGTACAGTCGGTCGTTCGAAACGATCCGAGTTGCGATCGATTAGTTCGTGAGTAACTTGTTTGAAATCGCGATGGTCGCATGTATACCATCGCGATTTCAGTTGCAGTCACGGACCGACATGTGCACATCATATAGTATTCTCGTCGGGGACCCATAAAAATAAGCGCTGGAATTTCCAAGGGGAAGTGGGAATGAGGTGTACAAAATAAATTTCGTGAAACTGTAGAATAGGGGCAAACGATTAACGGACCATCGGAACTTCCGTAATGAGCGGCTCATCATCAATATAATGTTTCATAAACGGTTAGGGTGAAAATGAAATAAAGCAAAAGTTATTGACGTTATTGTCAACTACGATTAGATCAATGAGGGTAAATACAAATTCGTAGTGATTTCGAACAGCCGTCGTCTGATACAACAAAACTAATTCACAAAACTAACAAAAAAAATTGTTATTAGTAATGCAAATAGTTATAAATTATTAGTTTGATGACGTTATCATAATTTTTTCTATGTTACGCACGGGACTTACCCGACTTAGTTTCAAACTCCGATCCGATAATGCGATTAATAATTCCACGGAACGTTTTTAATGGAGTCATAATACTCGTAGTATGGGCTTAAACGAAGAAAGAAATTATCGAAATTGAAATAGAACAGAAAAATGTATTTCAAGTTGGAGGAGCCAAGAAAGATAACTGAATAATTTATAGAGATTTCATGAAATGCAATCTAAAATTTAATCCACGTAAATGTTATTTTTGTTATGTACCTAGCGAGTGACTAAATAATGAACTAATAAAAGTATTTGAAAAGCATATACCTAGGCTTAAGAAAACAAACAAACAAACTGATAGAGCATTCATTTTTGGGGTAATCTTTAAATCGAACCAAGACGATTTTGCTTGGTTCTAGTGTATCGAATCGCGCATGTGAAAAATTAGAACGGTTTACATACAGTTTTCAGATTTATATAAGTAGTCACAATGATTAAGACTACAAAAAAAACATCTAAATCGTATTGCAAGTAGAGTTTGAAATTATTACTAGGTACCGTCAGTAGCGGATCTAGGATTTTATCATGGGGGGGGATATAAAATATTTTCGTACATAATATGTATAGGTATAATAAGCTTTATTCTACTAAATTTACAAAATAAAATTTAATTTTATTGATGATTGTGCCATTACTCTATGGCTGTATCCCGGGTCATGATATAAGTACAAGGTGTATATCCGTAATCTGATATGAAGTTAGATACTAATGTATACTAGTGTATCCTTCTTGCTTACGAAATAATGAAAACGAAATAATAAAAAAATAGTTTTTATTTAAATTGTGCATGCGAAAATTGAATTGGTTGCAAAATTTTTTTTTAAATTTCGGTTCACGGGGGGGAATCTATCCCCCATATCCATCCCCGTAGATCCGCCATTGGGCATCGTAAGAAGCACCTAATCAAGTATTAACTACTGTAATAATTATACCATAATATGAGTATAAATATTTATATTTATTTATAAATAAATAAAGATTAATTTCATTATATTGTATGAAAGTTATGTGCTTTTTTCAACCCATTTTTTAATTTTTTTTTATGTTCAAATAAATGTAAATAACAGTAATTGTAATGGGTTGCACGTGTTCAGATATATTTACCAAGATTAGCATGTATTTTATTTTTTACATGCGTTTAAAAATGTATCTAGACACATTATTTAAGTTGATAAATGTCAGAATGTAATATCTGCATCAGTGGATTGCATCAGAGATAGAACGACATAAACAACAAAACGATCCCCGGCACTCGCTATATGGAAAGAGCCCGCCGCAACCATGACTTAAATCCAGGAAAAGTTTCCTTACTACGATCCAACCAATAAAGAACCCCCCAGAAAAAGAAAGAATCAACAGATGGAAGGAGAGAGAACAAAACACCACAAGGGAATTAAAAGAAGAGCTACCCAAAGGAAGAAACTGGAAATGGGAAAAATGGAAAGCATTAAATCGTTTAAGAACAGGAGTCGGACGATGCAAAACTACACTCAAGAAATGGAAAATATTAGGAGAAGACGACACAACCAACTGCAAATGTGGTGAAATACAGACAATGGGCCACCTACTACAATGCCCTTTAATAGGAACAACTTGTGATGAAAATGACCTACACCTGGCAAATGACAAAGCGGCAGCAGTCGTGGCTTTTTGGATGACCGAGATCTGAACGACACGAAAGAAGAATCTGGATAAATCAATTTACTGCGTAACACGGATTTTTCATTATTAATTGAAAAAAATTGTTCGCATTAGTCAAGGTGATATTAATATAAGTAATTACGTGTGTCGATGGAAACATAGGTATAAAACGTAATTTAAGGTATTGTGCACGATTGAAACTCGATAATTTTTCGTAAACTTATATTCCAGATAAAGGAGTTCAAAATGTCAACTGATATAATAAAATATAATAATATGTGCACACACTAGGAACAGCTGTATAGCATGAGGGGACCAAATGGTAAAATGAATAATCTAGATATCAAAGTCGTTCAAAATACATATGAACATAAATACGAAATGTATAAAACGGATCACGCGATAAAAATAATTGACTTCGTGCCTACAAACGCGTCATGCAGTTATATTATTGAGTGCATTTATGTTTTTCTTTTTTATTATTGATATCATATATATATATATATATATTGATATTATTATGTAGTCGGCAAGCACGTAAATATATGCTTATTTCGGGTGGGGACGGGATGTTGTTAACCTTCTTAAAATAATCGGGCTTAAGTAATGTGCAATAAAGTGGCATATACCGTATATCCTAATTCGTGATCACTACAATACGATATTTGGGGAGGGGAGCAATCGTTCGTACCACCCCCACCATAAATTACGTGTTTGATAGTTGGTGCTGATACGGTTTTCTGTGTACATAATATTACGTGCGCAGAAATAGTATACGCATGCATTCATATTATTTCAGAATCTATTATTATTATTAACTATTATCAATTGTATTATGTTTCAGAAAAAAATCGAGACCAGATAGAACTTGAGTTACCCAGGCGAAAGCCGACACATCTGACGTTTTGTTCAAATGTATTTACTTTGTGAACGTTTCGTATTTTATCCGGGCGATCCTGGACGTAAACGAATTAAAAATTTAAAGTTAAGTTAATTTTATCTTTTTAACTTAACTTTTTTTATTTCAATTTTCATAAAATGAAATTTTAACTTAACTTATTTTAATTGATATAAACTTAATAAATAACCAGTTACTTTTAATTGAATTCAATTTAAGTTGTTTTTAAATAATTAAATTATAAATATAATAAAATTATTATTGATGATGCATATTACGTAATCATTTTCTAGAATAGGAAATTAAAAATGTAGTTAAATTTAACCAGAATTCCTTAAGAAAAATAACTTAATTAAATACATATAGCAATAGCCAATAGGTATATATTATATGATAATATAAAAGTGTATCGTATATATAAAGATATACCAAACCATACTGCAGCGTACGGCCATATTGTAATAACAATAATAATAATTAATAAATACTAATAACCAGGGCTCGGAAGTCCTAGCAAATGCATATTTTTCTTGGTTCTTCTTAGAACATCCAAATTAAAATACAAATATGTTTCTCACTACTCGGATATCATACACAAAATTTAATTTTGCTGTTTTGCTAATTTAGGGTTTATAGTTAGTGCTATTTTCGGGTATATTTTCACATAAAATAGGAAACAATAATACATTGTTGATAATAATTTTATTTACTTGATTATATTTTTAAATGTATTTGAATTATTGGATATTAATAGATTTCATCAAATATTATTTTATATTTTCATCGAAAATTTGATGAATTAATAATTAGTGACGTCATTGTTATTCCCTTATAATATTGCATTAAATTATCAAACATTTTAATAATCCAGGATAATTTTCAAGGTAAATAATTTAATAAGTACATTTTTACAAATATATTTAAGTAATTAAACATTTTTGCTAACAGTTTATTATTCAACCAGTCCAGACTGTGTCTATGAGCTCAAAAATTTGTAAAATTATATATATTTTTTTTTTTTGTACTATATATAGCGCATATTTTAGAGTTTTTAAGTACATATTTAAAAGCTAAAAAGTAACATTTTTAGTCCTACAACTTCTGAGTTTTGCTAAGAACTAATAAGTAATATGATATTATATTATTATATTTATATAGATACAAATCACAACCGTACAAAACTCAAGAACAAATTATAAAATATTTTTGCCATAAATAAATTATTTTTAAATTGAAACCAATTTGGTTATGCTCATATATATATATATTTATATTTCAAATGTTTATATTTATCAACAGACAATATTGTCAGTATGCAAAATAGTCATAGCCTACACGGGTTCACTTTTAATTCCTTGAAAAGTTATTCTGATTTTAAAATTAAGTACATTCTTAAACACCATGTTATTTTTATTTAATAATTTTAAAAAAAACATATAATATCTACCTATCTGTATTAATAAATTAAAATATTGTATTTATTTCGGTATTTTGTATACTTATGGTACCTACTAAATAATTATATTCATCAGTACATAATAATTCAATTCTATATATAGAAAAGCTATTGGATATTTTTTGTGTTCAATAATATGATTTTTATTATTTTAAACCATATTATTGAGTATTTAATTAT